AAATGCTGGGTGTCTGTGTATTTTCCGTAGCAATGTGGTCATTTGCCCCCATGCTTGATTTATAGCTGCTTTGGTTTATAGCTAGTCTTGGTTTATAGCTGTTTTTTCTCCCTGGAATTGCCTACCAATGTTCCCTCTAAGCTGTGGAGTCTTGTGAGCAAAATTTCTACTTTGTGAGCCACTGGCATTAAAGCTGTGAGCGAGTGATTTGGCTACTGCATCAGTTAGTTTGCCTCTGGAGCCCTCCTTCCTAAGTGAAGAGAAAAATATGTGAGCCAGAGGCTTAAAAGCTGTGAGCTAGCTCGCACTAACTCAGCTTAGAGGGAACACTCCTGGTAACTGGAATGTGAATAGCTACATATTTTGTACTTCATCTTTCCTTTTTGGCACTCTGGTACTAGGTCTTCACTGATGTGCTTGTTGTTGCTTTTCTCTCAACAAACCAGTTACTGAAAACAGATAAAATTGTGTTGAACTTCTATCCTTTTTACCTGACATGGGTGGTTTGCTTGTTTTCCCCCACATGTGCCATCAGATAGGCTCTCCAGCTCTGAGTTGGCAATACCTTGGAGATTTTGGGGGTGGAGCCTGAGTGGTGGGTTTAGATTCAGAGGAATTAGCTGTGTTAGTCTGTTGCTGCAAAATAGTCCAAGAGTTCAAATAGCACCTTTAAGACTAACAAATAGCACCTTTAAGACTAACCTTTAAGACTAAGACTAACTGAGTAATGGGTGTGGCCTTATGACACACTTCTGGTAATGGCAGGGTGTGTGGCCTTATGACACACTTCCGGTGATGTCAGGGGGTGTGGCATATGCTAATGAGTTATGCTAATGAGTTCCCCTAGCTCTTTTTCTACGAAACGACCCCTGAATATGACTACCTTGCTGGAGTGTGGAAAGTGGCAATGGACAGATCTGTGTTCCCAAGAGAAGCGCCCTCTGCTGGACTATGGAATGCACACTTTGGCCAAGGGGAGCCTTGTGCCTAAGAAGCATGTCAAGCCAGATGTGGCCCCTGCACCTCTGCATCCACCCAAGCACTGGAATGCAGACCAACAGCCCTGGCCTCCATGCAAGCGGAGAAAGCAGCAGATCAGAAAAGAAGCCATGTTCTGGTAAAGGAGAGATGTTCCTGAACAGAAGCCATGAGGGAATGTCTTTTTCATCACGCAGCATTCCCCCTATCCTATGTGTGTTAACTTCTGGGAAAATAACACATTCCTCTTCCTCCTGAGCCAGCCTAAAACAAAAGACTGTGCCCAGCTAAGGCCAAAAGGAGCCATTAAGCCTCCTTGTCGCTCATCCAGATAATGCCGCTGTCAAGCATCGGATCGTTAATACGGAGCACCAGACCTGCAAAGTGATTGGATCTCTTCACCCTTTCCTTTGTCTCACCCCCTTCCCCCAGAGGTTTCACTCCCTGCAGACCATTAATTCTCAATTACTGGACTATTGATCCCTTTATGTACCATCCAGAGTTTAAGTTTTTTTTCTAGTACTTCCTGGGGACTGGGGACCACATGAGCTTTTGCCTCAAGTCACATTTTAGCTATTTAAGTGGAGCCTTCCCTGACTTCCCCCCCTTGCCTCTTGCTCCTTCCTCTCCTAACCCCACCCTACCTTGTTGGTTCCATTCTCGGTCAGTTTGGAACCAGTCCACGTGTGTTGCTGGTCAGCTCACGATCTCTTCCCCCTTAGTGTGTTTTTAGTTTTTGCTGTGTCATCTCATCAGACAGGTAAAGTATTATCCCACCAATGATATCCCTGCTCGTGCAAACGTCGCTGTCCTTTCAACTCTGTATTCCTAGCTTTGTATTGTGTGTGTGTGAATGTATTGTGTGTGTGATCATTGATTGTATGCTTGAAGAACATCTAGTAAAGAAATAATTATTTCAGCAACACAGTCTTAGCTATTCACGGGCTCTGGGAATTCTCACTCCCGTATAGACAGGTTATGATCCCATATTTTATGCCTATTGCCATTTAATATTCATAATTCCCCAAGCTTGTTAATAAAATAAGGCAGTTTGGCTAACAATACCACAATGGACTATATTTAGCGGAGATCTTATTTGTCATTATAAGCTGTTTCACTGGGGATCTTTTCATACTTCTCCACATGGTGTTTGGATCATGTATTAACTCTACTGTCCTTATCCTTATTCTTAACATTATTCCTTGTCATTCCTGAAGATATCTATCTATATTAATACAGTGTACAAGTTCGTTTAATTTACAGTGTTGTTCATTAACATTTACAGTTAGTTTTCATCAGAGGTCATTTGGGGGGGAACGCAGGGGATCGCAGTTCCCCCGGGTGAGGTGCAGGGGGACGGGGCACATGACAAATCCCCGCCCCCTGCTTCCGGCCGCCCCGCTTCCGGCCCTCATTCAGCCAGGAGGAGGCAGGAGAAGAGGGAGGGTAAGTTGCTTCCTCCCTGCCTCTCCCCACCCCTGCCTGCCTGGGGCCAGGGAGGGCCTTGGCAGGCTTCCTCGCACTCCCGCTGGACATGCAGGTCCACCACCGGGCCCCTGATGTCGGGGGTGTGGCATATGCTAATGAGTTATGCTAATGAGTTCCCCTAGCTCTTTTTCTACGAAATGACCCCTGGTTTTCATAGAATTCATGCACAGTAATTAGTGTTTGATTTACTACTAGAAGGATGGGGGAGAAAAGCACTCTCTTTTTTTACCCTTTAGGTGGGACTTTGGAGTCCTCCTTCAGATTTGGTTTCTACCACCTCTGGTAAAGGGGGAACTCCCCCCCCCCGCTCCCCAGCAGCTGGCCAGACAATCAGCTTTGAATATGTTTTCACTTTGAACTGCCCTCTGCTATGTAGACCATGCCATTGTTGCTCAATCATCCAATCACATCTGCAAGATCAAGAATTGTATATTTAACAGAATTTGGTTCAATTACAGGAGGCATTTGTCCCAAGTCAGGCACACAAGTGTGAAGATGCTATACACTGCAAGGAACGATCGGGCATTCTTCAATCCCATGGGAAGGCCACGCTCATATCCTGCATCTTTTCCCAATAAACACTGTCAAAATATTCTTCCTGCTTTGGCGTCAGGTGATTCTTCCAGTCCTCACAGATTCCTGAAACAACACAACAAGGAGTGGTAATCAGAGGGATTTTTTGTATGTGTGTTGGTGGAGTGTCATTTCCTTCTGTCTCACTTTTGTATCCGCACAATATGTGAAATTGATTCTCTTTCAGGGTCAAAGATGTCCTAGTCAGGTCATTAAATGGGGGGTGGACTATGCCTTCTGTAAGGCTATATGAAAATGCAGGTGGTCTTGTTCAGTAAAATCGAACCTGAATGTTTGTAAAGGGTTGAAGATGTGAAGGAGTCTGGAATCTGGACGTGCTTGATCCTCTTTGGTTGTCCCATTTTGGGTCATGTCTAACCCAGCTCAGTAATGCCCTGCCCCTCCCCTTTGGTTGATTTCCCACTGTCGGCCCTCAGCATCCATACCCTGCTAGGATTTCACACTGTACAAAGTTGCAGCCATCACCACTTACCAAATACATGTCCGTGTGTACGTGCGCACACGCACACACACACGCACACACTTGCATACAAGGACATAGGTCACACAAGGCACCCCTTAGGATTCAACATATGGACACATAAAGCTGCCTTCTACTGAGTGATCCCATTGGTCTATGGGTTGTCCAGCAGGAGATATCCAGGGTCTCAAGTGAAGGTCTTTCACATCACCTACTACTCGATCCTTTTAAATGGAGATACCAGGGACTGGGACCTTCTGAATGCCAAACAGATGCTCTGCCATTAAGCTACAGACCATCCCTAATCTACAAGTCTCATCAAAGTTTCTGGAGCTATTAGCCATAGTTGTCAAGAAGAGTCACCCCAAGAAAGCAAACATGAGGCAAACTTTATAGAATAACCAAGCCCTTGGACTTTTCCATCCTATCAACTTTGTGTACATGGGGGCATAAGTAAATGTATTTATGCAAGATCACATTCTGGAACGAGGCACTCCTTCCACACTGCTTTCACCTTTCCTCAAGAACGGTCCCTTCTGGTGATCCATGACGGTGTCTGGTAGTAGTGTGAAATTGCACATCTTGTTGTCCTTCATCTTCTGGAAGGAGGAGTTTTCAACCACAGAGTCGATTTGCTGACTCGTGAGCTCCTTCCCTAGGAAGCGGCAGATCTTCTCCACGCAGCCTCTCAGGTCCTGGAGAAGGGGGGGATGGAATACCAGTCACCCCAACAGTGCAAATGAGTGTGCAATGCCTGTGATGATCAGCCCATTGTCAAGAGGTACGGGAGGCCATTGAGGTCATTTTAGGTAGGTTCTGCACCCAGGTTTACAAGGAACACAAAAAGCGAGGCAAATAGGCCATACCTTTACCTTTTAATTATTATTATTTTTCTTTTTTAAAGTGACATTTTAATGGTTTAAAAGGTAGTTCCATTTCTCCCTTTTATAATTTTTATAACCTTTACACTTCTGTGTTGTTATTAGCAGAGGTCATTTTGGGGGGGATCGCGGGGGATCGCAGTTCCCCCGGGTGAGGTACGGGGGGCGGGGCACATGACGAAGCCCCGCCCCCTGCTTCCGGCCGCCCCGCTTCCGGCCCTCATTCAGCCAGGAGGAGGCAGGAGAAGAGGGAGGGTAAGTTGCTTCCTCCCTGCCTCTCCCCACCCCTGCCTGCCTGGGGCCAGGGAGGGCCTTCACGGGGCTTCCTTGCACTCCTGCCAGCCGGGACTGTTGGGGGTGGGGTGTGTGGCCTTATGACACATTTCCGATGATGTCAGGGGGTGTGGCCTTATGACACACTTCCGGTGATGTCAGGGGGTGTGGCAAGCAGGGCTCTTTTTGTGGCAGGAACTCCTTTGCATATTAGGCCACACACCCCTAATGTAGCCAATCATCCAAGAGCTTACAGAGCTCTTCTTACAGTAAGCTCTTGGAGGATTGGCTACATTAGGGGTGTGTCGCTTAATATGCAGATGAGTACCTGCTACAAAAAGAGCCCGTATGCTAATGAGTTCCCCTAGCTCTTTTTCTACAAAATGGCCCCTGGTTAGCCTTTTCTGGGTCTTACCGGGTAGGCTTTTGTGGGGAATTCCTTCTCATTGTATTTCAAATTGATTGAATTGTACTGGTCGATGACTGTAATAATAATAAACTGAAACTGAAACTGAGGTCATTTTACAAGATACATCTGGCCAGGCTGCTTCTGGGTGTGTCTTCATCTTCACTTCTTGCATTATTATTCTATACAAATCGCTTTGACTGAAGGAACTGGATGAGGCCAGGAAAAGATCCATTGATGGGATACAGCAAATGCTGAAAATGGATCTCAAGTTACGAGAGGAATCGTGGGCTGGATCCCATTCCCACAGAGGAGTTCCACCAGCCGAAGGTGGGTGATGATGTCCATTCATTTGTCCCTTGCAGGGCAGACTTCTGACTCCCCTCTCAGGCTGTGCTTAGGGGTTCCCTGTCCTTCAGGAGCAGCTGGGGTGGGGGGCTACAGCCAGGGATAGCAGGAGAGGAAGGTCTGCTCTGCCAATAGGACACCCTTCCATCAGGGGGGAAATTCTGCTGGATCCAAGTTGCTCGTTGAGAAAGTAGAGTTTCTGGACAAGCTTTCAGTTAAACTAACCAAGCAGGGTGTTTTAATGAAGATCTCTTAGGCCGAGGGGGCTATTGTTCAGTGACAGAACATCTGCCAAAAATATTTGAAGACAGAAGTTGGGATCCTCAGGAGCTGAGGTAAGTGGTGTACCTGTGTGAATGCAGCTGGTCTTGGAGCCATACCTGCTGCAGCTCTTCATAAGTGACCAAGAAGAAGTTGTCTCTGCCCTTCAGTTTCATCCAGCCTTTCACATGGTCAAACCAGGAACCATAGTGCACTGAAAGAGGAACATGGAGGTAGAATAGAAGAAAGTTTAAAAAAAAATCATGGGGGGAAAGCAGGAGTTGGAGTGGACCAGCAAAGGTCATTCTCAGGGATGTTGTGGATGAATTCCACCTAGAAAGGCCAGTTCTCCTGCTATAGCAGAAGAAGTCCCAGCACCCTGTTCCTTTGCCCACCTGAGCAGGAATAAATGGGGGAGACTGCAGTGGGAACAGGCCGGACTCTGAAGGGGTCTGGAACATGGGGGCACCATCAAGGATGGCATTACTTCCTGGGAAACCTGAATGTGACATCATGCCTGTCTAAGAATCGCAGCAAACTCTACAATAAAGCCATAGAGTTTCTGGTGACTCCTAGAGTGGATTGATGTAATTTCTGAGCTTTTACTGTTTGTTTTTTGTTTTTTGCTGGGCTGTTTCTCAGGTCTTTGCCCCTGGAAATTTTACAGGGTTGTCAATGGCAGACTGGCAACCGTAGTGGAAGTATCCTAAGTATATTGAAGTGAATGAGCTTAGAATAGTAGTGTATTGCTACATTGAGACACAAGTGTGTTTCTTTTCAGGTTCAGGACGTGATTACACATCCAAATAGTTGTGTTATTATTTTGGTAGTGAAAAGTTCTATTATTGTTATGTTTAATATGTATTTATTATGAATTGTACAGTAAAGGCGAAGGATTTTCAGAAAGAGATTTGGTAACATTTGTCTCTGACCTTGACCTGCCATGTTTAGATATTATTCAGCAACAGATTCTTGCTGAACTTTTGCATATGGATGAAATAAAGGCAGTGATAATTAATATGAATAATGGCAAATCTCCAGGACAAGATAGATTGCCTACTGAATAGTATAAAACCTTTTCTGATTTCTTAATTCTAAAACTTTACTTATTGTATACCAAGATTTTTTAGTCTGGCTAATTGCCATTGTTGTTATATGGTATTAATATCTCTGTGATCTGAAACATGGCAAATTAGTGCAAATTTTTGACCTATTTATTCGATGAATGCAGATGATAAGGTATTAACTGCTGTTCTTGCTATTCTGCTATTCTTGCTAACAGACTTCAAAAAGTTGTTACAACTTTGGTACATACAGACCAGGTAGGATTTATACAAGATAGACAAGGCTCTGATATAATCTTTGTCTGGTTACTGGTCTGATTGCTTTAAACAGTAAGAAATCTGATCAAGTTGCCATTCTCTCACTTTTACTACACTGACTAAATTCTGTTTTCCTTATGAATTTTTGAAGTGGTTTAGAATTCTTTATTCATCTCCGAGATCCAAGGTGCTGCCTAGGGATGGGCACAAACCGAAAAACAAACCACAGTTTGAACACAAAGCAGGCTACCTTTGGATTTGGGCAGAAGAGCAAATTTAAACTTGTCTTTGTGGGGCAAAGTAAATACAATCAAAATAGATATTAGGATTATTTATATTTTACATGCAAATCCCTTTCCATATATCTTGCAGATATATTCATAAAACTAATACTCCATTTCAGAAATTTATGTGGAGTTCCTTACTGCCTCAGATTTCTTTAAAGAGGATGCAACTTCCATTCAAGGAAGGAGGATTTGGTATCCCTGATCTTAATTTATATCCTCAGGCATACTTCTTAACTTGTACTAATTATTGGGATGACTTGTTGCAGTTGGACCGTCAGTCTTGGGCACTTCTGGATGCTTCTTATATGGTGCCCCTCTTTAAGTGGAATGCATTAGGGTCTCCTTATGTTAGAGTCGATCCCATTTCCCCTACAGCTAAAGAACAATGGTGCATGATATACCCCCCAACAAGCCTTATGCTCGGGAGACCAAAACTGACTGGTGATCCCTGGTCCAAAAGATGTCTGGCTCTCCTCAACTAGGGTCAGGGCCTTCTTGGGCCAGGAGTCAGACCTTGCTCAGTTCCACAGGGCGTGTAAAACAGGGTTGTTCCATTAGATCTACGGTTGCGGACAGCAGTGGTTCCTTAGCGTGGCCTTTACGAATCCCAGTCTGTTATCAGCCCTATGGAGGGAGCGAAGTTATACGCATGCCATCAATTATTCTGAGGATTTACACTGTTTTATCTATTAATAACCATTTACCATTTTCTATTTATTGCTTTTAACTTGTTTATGTCTGATTCTGTTGTACACTACCCTGAGTCATTTGGAGGAGGGTAGTATATAAATTTAATAAATAAATTTAATAAATAATTTGTTGTTAACAACAACAAATCCCCCTGGCAAGATTCGAGGTTCATAGCTGGCATAATAATAATAATAATAATTATAATAATAATAATAATAATACAACAATATCAATTTGATCATTTTCACTTGGTATATTAACATTTTGGGTCAATCCAGAGCTAAAAATTGGGAATAATTTTTTTTTTATGGAAGGCTTGGACTGATAGGGAAATTTTTACATTGTACCAATTGATAGATTGTGATGGTGAGCTTTTGTCATTTTCTCAGCTGAATTCTAGATATGGCTTGTCAACTTCTGTTGAATGGCAGTATTTACAATTGCAACATCTGCTGGTATCTAAATACGGGCCTGTAGCATTAAGTGCCGCAGTATCCCTTTTGCTCCTGGTAGCTCTAATTGAATTGATGCAGAAAAGGAAACTGGCAAACTTTGTCCATGAATGTTTGATGTTGATTAATAAACATGATACGCCGAGTCTCAGGAATTAATGGAATAAGGAGCTAAAATGCCCAATTTTGCCAAAGGAATGGAATATGGCAAAGTTTATACCTTTTCTCTCCATGGATCTTGTGATGGCAAAAAAATTGTGTTTAGGATATATTGGATGCCACAGTGCCTCTTCAGCAAGGGACCAAGTAAAAAGTCTAACTGGTGGAGTTGTAACTTACAGGACATGTCCCTTAAACACATGCTTTGGGCGTGTCTAGTCATTCAGCTTTTCTGGGAAGAAGTTATTACTCATATCAGTTTTGTATTAGAATTTGTACTGATTTTTGAGGATGCTTATGTACTTTTAAACTATCTGCTCATCTCTTGGAGGCTAACCAATGGTCAATGAAAATGCATCCTCCATGCCCTGGCTACAGATAAAAGATTTGTATTACAGCACCGAAAAGATAAATGCCCGCCTCCAGTAAATCAATGAATCGACAACCTTAGAATTCTATCAATATTTGAACCCATGGCATATAGAAGGCAATTGTGCATGGACTTATTTTTAGATATTTGGAAGCCTTTTATAGAAATGTGTGTGTAGATCTGCCACCACTGTTATATTTTTGTCTCTGTGTATATCTGCCTTTAAGGAGCTGCGGTGGCTCAAGTGGTTAAGACGCTGAACTGCAGGCTGTGGAAGGTCGGTAGTTCAGCAGTTCGAGACCCAAGTGTGCCACATGACGGAGTGAGCTCCTGTCTCTAGTTCCAGCTCCTGCCAACCTAGCAGTTCAAAAGCAAGAAATTGCAAGTAGATAAATAGGTACCACGGAAACGTCTTTGGGCAGCGCTGGCTCTTCGGCTTTGAAACGGAGATGAGCACCGCAACCCTAGAGTCGGATTCGACTGGCTTTCGAGCAAGGGAACCTTTACCTTTTCCTTTATATCTGCCTTTGTTTTTGTTCTGTTTGGTTGCTAGAGTTTGAGTCTTTTCCCCCCTCCCCCCATTTTTTAGAATTTACAATAGCAGTGTATGAGTGTATGTTTTTTTTTACATTTTTAACATTTTTTAAACATTTTTACATTTTACAAAAGTGACAGTGTATAAGACACAGCAGCGTGCAGGCTTCTACTCCTGTCTCAGAGAAGTGCCCTGCGATTACAGCGCTGAGCATGTAACTCGGTGCATGGCATGCCTGTTGCAATTCCACCTAAAAGATTCAGAAGATGTTTCTATTTCTGTACCATTCCCTCTCAGGAACTCTTCCAGGAATTCTTGTAGGGTTTCAGGATCTTTATATAGTTTCAGGAGTTTGGAACCGTGGTAGAATGAGATCATCGCATCCTTTGGATTGCGCATGGTGAAGATAATCTGTAGGAGAGGCAGAAGCACCGTTACAGGACAGCAACAAGATGTAAACGTATGGGATTTCTTTTCTTTTTTTTAAATTGCCCCAAAGGGCAAAAAATTATTAATTTTAATAACATTACAAACTTTACATACAAACATTGAAACTTACAGTCCATAAAACACACACACAAACTTACAAACAAAACAAACAAAACATTGACAGGGGTTTTAAATCTTCATAGTTACTACAAGCTTTTCAGCCTAAATGCAAACATTTATTTCTACTTTTAAGGAGTGTGAGTAAATACCATTACCTTTCTACCTTATTGGGTTATAGCAATATCATGCTATATCTTATAATATTGTCCTTTAATTTTAACTGGCTAAATATATTTCTTGTACCAACTGTAAAATCATATCCATGTGTTCTGAAATATAAAAGTATGGGATTTCAAGAAGAGCTAATTTTGTTTTAACAAGTACTCTACAAACCCAGTTTTCAAAAGCAAATCTTGAAATTCTAGACATCCCGAATTGTGACCTTTTCCCTCTTGTCTATTTTTTTACTCGAGAATGCCTGAGGCAGGCATATTAAAGGATAGTATTTAGGGGGCAGGTCCTGGAAAGGGAAGGGTTTGGGGAGGAGAGTCTGCTGCGACTACACCAAACTGGAAGAGAATTATGTAAGCTGCTTTGGATTTGCATTGGACATTAAAGCCTAGTTTCAATTGCTAAACAAGCAATCAAAATAATTTTCTAAACTAATGGGGAAAGTGCATTTGTTACATTTATTTGGATAGTGGAAAGAGGGTATATGAATGAGCAAAAATAAAAGATAAATGCCTGCCTCAGGCATTCTCAAGTAAAAAATAAACAAGAGGGAAAAGGTCACAATTCGGGACAGACCAGAATGCTGACATCAAAGAACTTCCCAATAACCGAAGAGTGTTTTTTACAGTCAAAGACAATATTGATACATACAGATCAATAGGAAAAAAGTCTTAGTATAACGGTGCTGATAGTAACAATCAGTGTTCCCTCTAAGCTGAGTTAGTGTGAGCTTACTCACGGTTTTTTAGTCTCCAGCTCACATTTGTGTCTTAGTTCACGGAGGATGGCTCCAGAGCAAGCTAATTTATGCAGCAGCCAAATCGCTTGCTCACAGCTTTAATACCAGTAGTTCACAAAGTAGAATTTTTGCTCGCAAGACTCCACAGCTTAGAGGAAGCATTGGTAACAATACAAAGTTTCACATAAGTGAAACATGTTTCAATGAATCAGGCACATCCCTACAGTTTATCAAATGGAATACATGGAAAACGCCCAAGGATGAACTAGGACCAAAATAAGATTTGTCTTAAGCATACAAAGGGAAGCATGACTTTTTCATACTCACACAAAATCACCACCACCATGCATAAGACTTTCTTTGATGACAGCCAAGACCTAGTACTGCAATCCTAAACAGAGGTTCTCCCTTCTAAGCCCGTTGACTTCTGTGGTCTTAAAATGGTGTATGCAGGGCTTTTTTTTGGTAGAAAAAGTCCAACAGGAACTCATTAGCATAATAGGCCACACCCAGCAGCAGAAATTCATTAGCATATTAGGCCACACACCCTGACTGCACCACTCATTAGCATATTAGGCCGTATTCCCATGTTATCAGAAGTGTGGTCATCCAGCCAAACCCACCTTTTGCTTCTTATTCTGTTTACCTTGTTTGTTGTCAAAACCCAGGGCCTTTTTTGTTGCAGGAACTCCTTTGCATGTTAGGCCACACACCCCTAATGTAGCCAATTCTAATGAGTTCCTGCTGTTGGGTGTGGCCTATTATGCTAATGAGTTCCTGCTGGGTGTGGCCAACTTGGGAGCCAGCCAGAACTCCGTTCCTGTGCGTTCCTGCCCAAAAATAGCCCTGGGTGTATGTATCTGTGCTAAAGATTGCATGGTTAGGCTGCACTCACACACACTAAATAAATCCTCTTTCAATCCACTTTCCAACTGGATTTTGCCAGTTTGCACAGTAAAACCCAGTTGGCCTGTATTGTATGACTCAAACCTTTTTGTCTCTCAAAGACAGTATTGTCTGCTCCCACTGGCGGAGACTCTCCAGGGATCCAGGCAGAGGTCTTTCCTTTCACCCATCACCTAAGCCTTTTGAACTTGAGATCCGTGGATTGAATTTGGGACCTTCCGCATGCCAAGCTGATGTGCTACCACTGAGCCTCCACCCCTCCCCATCTATGCATATTGCAGTATTCGCCATTTATGTTGTTCCTCCATTACCTTGGCTTTCGAATGAATGAAAGACTTGGGGAAAAGCTGGAGTGGCAGATGCGAAGTCAGGAGCCTGGGTGGAGGACATCTCAAAGCAGACATCATTCCTCCAATACCTTCAATCCAAGGCACCCGTTGCCACACTGGTGCACTGTAGACCCATGTGGTGTCCCCACTATGCTGGATCAAGCTCAAGATCTGTGCCATCCAATTGGTACCTAGAAAGGAATTTGCTTGTCATTGGGAAGTCTCTTGGGAAGACTAGATGACCTGCAAGGTCCCTTCCAACTCTAACATTTTATGATTCTATGATTCTTCAACACGTCACTGATTTCTTTAAAAAATCTTGTTGTTAACGACACCATAATTTCATGGTGGCCCAGGTGAGAATGTAGCAAAAGCAATCAGGGGCTATAATGCAAAGTCGGACCACATAATATCAATCAGACTTCATGGGAAGCCTATCAACATACCCATCATTCAGGTTTATACCCCAACTACAGATGTTGAAGAGGAAGAAATTGAAAGCTTTTGTGCAAGTGTCCAGGAAGAAATTGATCACACATCTAAACAAGGTGTCCTGATAATCGTAGGTGAAGCTAAGGTTTGACACGAAGTAGAATGAAATATTGTCGGAATATTTGGCCAAGGAGCATGAAACGAAGCAGGAGAGCAATTCATACAATTTTGTCAAGACAATAATTTACTCATCGAGAAACCGTGTTTCAGGCAGCCAAAGAGAGGATTGTATATGTGGACATCACCAGATGGCCAATTCAGAAATCAAATAGATTACGTAATCAGAAGCAGAAGATGGAGAAGCTCTGTTCTTCTCTGCTAAAGCAAGACCAGGAGCTGATGACTGTGGCAAAAAGATAAAGGTTTCCCTTGCTCGAAAGCTAGTCGAATCCGACTCTAGGGGGTGGTGCTCATCTCCGTTTCCAAGCCGAAAAGCCAGCGCTGTCTGAAGATTTTTCCATGGTCATGTGGCTGGCATGACTAAATGCTGAGGTGCATGGAACGCTGTTACCTTCCCACCAAAGCAGTACCTATTTATCTACTTGCAATTTCTTGCTTTCGAACTGCTCGGTTGGCAGGAGCTGGAGCCAGAGATGGGAGCTGACACTGTCACACGGCATTGGGGTCTCGAACTGCTGAGCTACTCACTTTTCGGTCTGCAGCTCAGTGTCTTAATCTCTGAGCCACCGCGGCCCTTGATGATTGTGGTACAGACCATGAATTGGTAATGTCAAAATTTAGAATTGTTGGGAGCTGACTCCCAGCCTGGTCATTGGCCATCCTCGGCTTGGGTAGTTCGGGTACTAAAATATTCTGCCACCACCATGTGACTTCTATGAACATTTCTCCATTTATTCTCCGATTAAGCAGGTTGTTACAAGTTGCCCCCAAGACAGGGGACTTGTTTAAGGGGGTGATGGGCTGAGCAGAAGAAGGAAGCAGAAGAAGGAAACAAAAGTCTTACACACTTCAGGGTAACACTGTCACCAGTCCCTTTAACTAATCCAACTGCCAGAGACCAAGGGACTAAGCTTCTAGCCCTCGTGAGTCTAGGAACAATAAATCAGCCCTGCAAGGTTGTGCACTTACAAGGCAAGTTCCGGACACAAGTTACTTTGGTAGCTGTAGCCAACCTGGGCCAAAGTACTGGATTCAGATTGAAGCCCCAGAATTCAAGAACACACCAAATATAGCTAAAATGATGGATTAAAAAGAATGTGCAGGAGTATACAATAAAAGAGCAGTGAACAGGGAGGATAGAAATAATAAAGCTAAATAACTAACCTAAACACTTCTCACAAGCAATAGATCTCTAATCCAGATGCTAACTTAGCAAGACTGAGTCCAAGATAAGTTCCAAAATCCAAATCAACAGGTGCTCAGCTATGCTGGTCCACCTAGGGATTCCAGTCCCCAAGTGCAGGCAGGGATTCCCCCAATTTTTAGGGCTCAGACCTGATGCCAGCCAGCTGGCCGGTGGGGGAAAGCCCCACCCACAAAAGTAGTCTGCAGTCCTGCTTTAAAAGAGTGGGCGCCACGCGCACCTGCCCTTCAAGCGGCAAATTCATGGCTTGCAGGGGAGGCACACGTGGCACCTGCTCTTCCTGAGAGGGGGCTGCCGCTCATGCCCTGCAAGAGGCAAATTCCTATCTTGCAGGGCAGGAGGCCCAGGGCCCACTATTTTCAAGTGGGTGCCACCAGCTCCTGCCTTGCAGGAGGTGAGTTCACTGCTTACAGGGCAGGCGCATTTAGCCCTCGCTTCCCCTCCCCCAACCATTTAAAGGGAAGTTTCCTTTAAATGGTTGGGAAAAGCCAGGGGCGTGCACAAGCTGCGTCCAGGACATGATGGCGTCATTCTGCGTGACATCATTGCATCGGAGATGGCCACGCCCCCTCCTGGAACACCCCCAATCCCCCTGCCAAGATTGGACCTGGCAACCCTAGGTCCACCACAAGTCGAAAGTGTCCCAAAGCTAGTTGTATACCAAAAAGGGGGCAAAACTCGAACGAAGAGTCTTTTCTTTATGCGTTGCAGCGTGCACTGGCGTGATTTGGCTAACCAATCAAATTTAGGCCCGATAATGTAACCCAACTTACTATGGTGTTACTGACCAGGCGAGGCAACCAATCAGGTCAGATTGCCAATTAGTCTCTGACACTCTGACTGCAGCTGTATCAGATCCAATTAAGCCAGTATCCACAGATCTTTGTGTTAATAAGATGGAATGTGTAGGCCCACTTTGGTGGCCTAGGGTGGATGATGTACCCAGTGTTGGAAATGTATGTGTTTACAAGGTCTGACAATCCAGTCATTATAGGGTTAACTTGTTTACCTAGTATTGCTATTGTTTAGACTGACCTGGAAGGGAAACCTGGCGCAGAGCCAATGGGGAATTAGCCTGGGGAAAGTAACTTCTGTTGTGATAAGTGATTGGTTGTTTGTTCCGGGTGACTTCCTTTCTAGGGGTCGAGAAGGACAGATTCTCCATTATCTGCGAGTTAGTGTGTGACTATGTTTTGAGAAATAAGCAGTAGAAAATGTAGCTCTTAAATGTTCTGTTTATTTGTAGGTTTCCTGTGTACCTTTAAGGAGCTGCGGTGGCTCAAGTGGTTAAGACGCTGAACTGCAGGCTGTGGAAGGTCAGTAGTTCAGCAGTTCGAGACCCGGGTGCCGCATGATGGAGTGAGCTCCCATCTCTAGTTCCAGCTCCTGCCAACCTAGCAGTTCGAAAGCAAGAAATTGCAAGTAGATAAATAGGTACCACTTCGGTGGGAAGGTAACAGCGTTCCGTGCACCTTGGTGTTTAGTCATGCCGGCCACATGACCACGGAAATGTCTTTGGACAGCGCTGGCTCTTCGGCTTTGAAACGGAGATGAGCACCGCAACCCTAGAGTCGGATTCGACTGGCTTTCGAGCAAGGGAACCTTTACCTTTACCTTTACTGTGTACCTTTACCCTTAGAAATAAAGTTTTTTAAAGGCAAAGAAATCTCTTCTTTCCAATAGAGCAAGATCCATTGATACTTTGAGTAATTTTAAATACTTTTCACTATTTTTACAACACCCAGAACCTGTGAATACTCCCTAATCCTCCATATCGCTCCCTCTGAGCTACAGTCATCTTGACCCTGGTTCCCAGGACGCAGAAAGCTTCCATGTTCTTCAGGCCACGTTTTTCAAGAAGAGACTATGGAAAAGGCCTAGTCTCTTGATACGGGTAAACACACCGAGGGTTGTATCATGACCCAATGTTGCCATTTGGCCTTTGTTTATTTTATTTCCCTTCTTTCCAGGACGACGTCCATACAAAGCTCTTCTTCCACCCATTTTCTTTCCTACCTGATTTGGGGTAAGTGACATTAATGATATCGTCATCCAGCATTTGGAATTCATTTCCCACATAGTTGAGTATTTCCTCTGAGTAGCCCAGTGTAGGAAAAGGGATCCCCTTGTGGTAGAAGCATTTCTCTGACATCATTGTAAAACTGTAAAAAAAAAAAAGAGCAAAATGTTGTGTTCTTATGGTTTTTTAAACTGTGGACTGTATTTTTCGCTGTAGCTTGGAATGTCCTGATGTTATATAGCAGGGGGCCTCAGCCTTTTTGACCCTGAGGGGCCCTTTGGGATTCTGGCGCAGGATGGTGGGTGCAACCACAAAATGGCTGCCTCAGTAGGTGGAGCTAATCACAAAATGTCAGAGATTGATGTTACAAGCAAAAGGAGAACATACCAAGCTGTGTATAGATGCTAAAGCAAATAACAGCTAGCCAAAAAATTCTCAAACAATTCTTGAACAATACAAAGTGTTATGTAACATATACAACATAGAGCCAAGGTAATATAACAATATATATATACACACACACACATACACACACACACACACACACACACATATATATATATATATAAATAAAACTATATGTGTGTGTGTGTGTGTCCAAAATGATATTGACAAAATTTCCAGCTAGTATATTCATTTCGTGAGTCTTCTTCTGAAGAGGACCGACGTATAACTTCAAACTATCAATCAAATCCATAGAAATGCTTTTAAATAATTTTAACAATTTTTGTTTCCGGTATTAGCTCGTGGCATCCGGCGCCCGCCCATGTCCCGTCGTGAAAAGGGTTTTTTTGTCAAGTCTCCACGGGTGCGCACAAGCACCCAACAGCGCATGCGAACACTTTCGGTTAAAAAAAACAACACAACCCCCGCGGCGCCGCTTCTTTGCCATGCTGCAGGAGTGAGGTATGATCGGCACCTCCCCCCAACCACGGGACATCGGTGGGACGTCCAGTGGGATGTTTGATCTGGCTGCCGCGCGGTAGTTCGCTCCGGGGCAAACAGCCATGCCTCCCCCCCCCCCACGATATCCAGCCTGTCTGACCGGGGCCATAGAAGGGTTGAGGGGATAAGAGGGGTAAGGGAAGGTTAATAGATAAGGGGTGGGGGCAGAAAGAGAGAAGGGGAACTTTGACAGAGAAAAGGGGAGAGGGAAGAAAGCCAAAGTAGGGGAATGCCCCTTCCCTACAAGTTTCTTGTGGGTCCCCACTTCTATATTCTAATTGTGAAGTTGACCAAAACTGAGGATACTTAAATCTGGTGACTGGAGCTATGAATAGGCAAGTCAGATCTTTCTACCTGAAATCTGAAAAACACCCCAATTTTGCAGAAAAATGTGAAGTCTAAAAAAACAACCCATCTTTTTAAAAAATCCAGTGATAAAAGGAGCACCTGTAGCTTTAAGAAAGAGATTTCCTTAGCGGCTGTTGCTGAGCAAATGCAGCATTCCAGATTTGGTTTCTGTGAGTAAAAGGCAGGAGGACAGGACAGGGCTCTTTCCAGGGTTGTTCTGGCCTTTGAGGGAGGACTCAGTGGGGCCAGGCCCAACTGTCAGCAACTACTGGGTGACTTGTTGCCACACAATTTGCATGATTCAATTAGGTCTGGCTGCTTGCTACTGTTCAACAGCAGCCCCCCCCCCATGAAAGCCAGTGTGGTGTAAAGACAGGCCCGTAGCCAGGAATTTCTGCCAGGTGGCATTTTAATTCCTTGGGGGGCACTGGGGCCAGGAGAAAGGGTGCCGATGATCACCTGTGCAGAGACCCAAGCACAACTACAGGACCTCTGGAAAGCGCAGGGGGTGTTCACAGCAGCTGCCACATCTTGCCAGAGAGTCAGGGGCTCTGGGCTGAAAGGAAGTCATAGGACCCTGGCAGGAAGTCAGGGGGCGGGCCCCGAAATGCCCCACTGTAGCTACGGGCCTGTGTAAAGGTTAGAGCTATAGAGTGGGGTCTGGAAGACCCACATTTGAATCCTCATCTTTCTTTGGAAGCTTACTGGATGATTTTGTGCCAGCCACATACTTTCAGCCTAACCTACCTTACAAGGCTGTGGTGAGGATAAAAAGGAGGAAATAATAATTATGTAAGTTGCTTTGATTCCCCACTGTGGAGAAAGATGAGGTCTAAATAATATACATAGATGAAGGTGGGAGACAGATAAAAGACAAGTTGGTGAATGGCTGAGAAGAGAATGAGGCAAGGAAAGGGGAGAGGATATGGGGATTGCCAGGAGGAGGCAAAGAGGAAATAGTGTGTGGGGGATACAGGAGAAAGTGAGGTGCCCCCCATACAAGAATTTGAGGGTTCCCTAAGATGTAAATGGACCTTGTCAAGGACTAGCATCACATAGGGTTGCCAGCCCCTAGGTGGAAGTGGGGGATCCCCCAATTTGGTGAGCTCCAATTGGCCACCGGCCAGTGGGGGGAAGCCCTGCCCCCAACACCCAAAACCCAGCACAATGTCCCCAGTGTGATGACATCACACGGAAGTGATGTCATCATGCTGGGGATGCCGTGCTGCCACCTCCTGTGGCAGTGAATTCCATGTGTTAATCACTCTTTGGGTGAAGAAGTACTTCCTTTTATCTATTCTAACCCGACTCCTCAGCAATTTCATGGAGTGCCCACGAGTTCTTGACAGATCTCTAATCTGACTGAGGATAAGGCAGCTCCGGGTGTTTAGAAATTGACACAAATTCCATCTCAGAAGTCAGCTGAAGAACATTTCAATCTAACAGGATGCTTCAGTGCTGCTGATAAAAGAACATCAGGCTTCAGTGTCAAAAGGCTGACTTAGAATTCATTGAGGAAGTCGCTGAGGGCCAAACTGTGATGACACACGGGTCAGACCCATGGACATCACTGCTATTTACAAATCCAGTGGGGCAATTTAAAAATGCCACAAAGCTGCAATCAGATAAGGTGCACTTGTTCGACCTCCAAACACATACCACATGCCATAGCTGCATGAGGGGTGCATCTAGTTTGGCCTTGAGGCAAAGCTCATCTCATCTAGGGTTACAAACTCCAGGTTGGAAAAAATGTGGAGATTTGTACTTTAAAGAATATTTGAGAATTGCCAGTTTTATTTATTTCATTTAAATATCTTATTTATTTCATTTAAATATATATTTAAATAAATATTAAATTATAATATATATATATATTATTTATAGTCCATCTTCCTCACTTGGACTCAAGGCAAATTATGCAGAGTGAGTTAATACAATCGACAGAATGGGACTGTGGTAAGAAATATTGAACGATGGAAGTATTTGGGTTTAAAATGAACCAACTAAGTTATGAATTCCATATACAATATCTGGCTCTGCCCTGGCTAGAAAAAGAAAAAAAAACAGGCTTGACCTTTCTTTCACTGAATATGTACTCAACATTACATTCCCAGGCCCAGGGGCGTGTGAGACTTTACAATAAGCAGCTGGCTTGGGAAGTGGCAGAACCCCAATAAAGATGTGTGGCCATTTGGACACCTGGCAAGATAACACTAGCTTCCTGAGAGACAGAGAGTTCACACACATACCCCGCTTTTCATCTCTCTAAACATCAAAGCACAGTTTATTTCCCTGATTGGGGGACACCTGGATGACACTGTATTGATCCCTTTGGACTTTTATTGTGTGAGACCAAGGAAACAATATTTCCTGTAATACAATCATCTTTTAGGAAGCAATTTTCAGATAGGCAATTTCCACTTCCATGCTAATCAACACCTGATATGATCATCAAAAAGAACTCCTCCTTTGATGTTGGGTTTAAAATACTGGTCCAGAGCCCACAGACGGCAGCTGAATCCGAAAAGGATTCAGTTAGAGAGTGCCTCTCGACGCGCTTGCATGGGGTGGGGAAAACTTTGTTTTGCATGTTTATTTTTCTGTGTGTATGTTTAGGAACTATGAATGTTTTGCTATAATAAAGATAAGTTTTATTTTAAGAAGAGACTAGTGAATTCCAAGCTTGCACTTCTGCCTTTGGTAAGGGGCAACACACAGGAGACACACACGAACTGAGGGGGGGGAAGTGTGGGTGACAGGGTTAAACACACACCCACACATCCAAAATTCTTACAACAGGGACATTCAGTAAGCAATGAAATCAGATTACAGTTGTAAAATCAATCAGAAACTTTAAATGATACAAATTAAATGGCACAAAAATGATACAGATGGATCCTAGTTTCAGCAAGCTAAACACAGTACTTAAGACCACAGGCCCTAGTAATTTATCCAAGTAACTTTGTGAATAATTTTGTACAGAAATAGAGATGGAAGGGACCTTCAGGGTCATCTAGTCCAACCCCCTGCACAATGCAGGAAATTCACAAATACCTCCCCCCCACACACAGACCTAGTGACCCCCGTTCCATGCCCTGAAGATGGCAAAAAAACAACAACAACCCTCCAGGATCTCCAGCCAAAGTGGCCTGGAGAAAAATTGCTTCCTGACCCAAAAGTGGTGATCGGCACTTCCCTGGGCCTGTAAGAAAGGGCCACAAGAACTAAGCTTTGATTTATTATTTATTTATTTGGATTTATATCCCGCCCTCCCCAAAGGCTCAGGGCGGCTAGCAGAGGCATAATGCCAGATTATAACAATAAAAACAGTATAAAATACAAAATAAACAATTAAATAGGATTCATAAAAAAGACATTTTCGGTGCTCCCCTACCCTTCCTGCCCTCCCTCTCATGATCTGCCTAAGTTCACAGAATCACCATTGCTGTCAGATGGCCATCTGGTCTCTGTTTGAAAACCTCCAAAGAAGGAGAGCCCACCACCCTCCGAGGAAGCCTGTTCCACTGAGGAGCCGCTCGAACTGTCAGGGCGTTCTTCCTAATGTTTCCGTAAACCCTGCCATCCCCAGGCTCTACCTTCAAAATCTCCAGGAGTTTCCTAGCTCAGAGTTGGCAGCCTCACTCAGGGACCTCCCAGTTTCTGAAGAAGAGAGAAGAGCTGTGCCTTTGGACGAAAGGCAAAAACTCATGTGCGTACTCTCCAAGGTTTCATGGGCAAATGAGGATACTTTTGGACCCTCTGCTCTGTACGCTGCAATCCACTCTTTTCACTGAAGTTTCTTCTTTCAGTTAAAGATAAACCAGAAATGTATCTGTCAC